CAATGATCAATTCAATAATGAAGTATAACATAGCATCGTTTGTTAATCGTGTTTCTACTACCGCTGGCAGTATGGGTGAAGCGGTTTCTAAATGTTTCTAAAGTGGAGATATTCAGCTACCATGTTGGATCAGGACGTATTTCAACCATAACAGGCGCTCGCATCACCAGGCCCCTCACCCCTTCCGTTATGGCAGCAACGGAATACTATGTTGTTGTTATTGTTCGCAGGTCGACGACTCGCCATTTGTTTCTCGGAAGTTGCAACCTAGTAGCCGTCCTCATACGAGAGCGCTTGTTCCCTTCCCTCAGATAGTACTCTCCTCAAATTCGAAACTGGAGTTTTCATTTTGAGGCAAGTGCCCCAGTGTACCCGTAAACTGTGATGGGTGATAAATTGCCACTTCGATGGTTCTTAACAGAAAGAAGCAAACGTCTTGTGCCTTTGCTATAACTGAAGACGTTTCAACCGTGACACGTTCCTCATCCTCAAGGCAAACAGTGATGCGTGCAGGATGGTCAATTAATCTTAATTGAAGCGTCGGTTGTGTTGCCTGTGTCTAGAACATTCTAGAACATAAGTGGCAGCTGAGGAAGAAGACGCGCAATCAATACGAGATTCAGAAATCATGATAACCGTTTTAGCGCTCTGTCAAGTCTTCCTTCGATTATAAGTTAATGACATGTTTTCGAGAGGTTGAATTCGCCGTAAGAGTTCCAGCGTAGACCTGTTTCGCCATGATGACGTACAAGCGCTGGTCATAACTTGGACTTAATAGCGTTGGTGCTCTCTGTATGGCAGTTCTTCAGAGTATAATCGAGGGTGGCAACTTCGAAGTCGAAATCTGGGTTATACACACATCTTATGCCGATTATGACACTAGGCGATCAGCTATTATAGGGGGGGGGTCAATCAAGCAGAAATGCAGCCACAGGGAAAGCTCACATTGGACACTATGGCTGAACACTTCGTCCTTCTGGCATGATTAGATCAAAATACCATGCTGTCCGTAGTGATGGCAAGTTCTGACTTACTGGTTGAGTCAAACCAACTTGGAGCTAATACCCCTTGCTTAGGAAATTCATGGTTAACAATGACTGACCTTTCTAGGTGTTCGAGTTCGGTTCTTGGAGTTCAAAGTCGACGTCTGTTCGCTACTGCACCGCCATGCCCTAAAAAAGTTTGGAACGCTTCACGAATTTTCACGCCATCCTTGGACTGGAGGCATGCTAATGTTTGTCTGCATTTTTCCAATTTTAACACATGTCCATGGGATGCCATCGAACATTGTCACAAACCGTAGTTTGCTTGAAGATCTGCCCATTGGCTAAAGTACCCCCCCCCACGTCTACTTGTAAGAAATGTTCTAATTCCGCTGATAGAGATATATCCAAATAAGGATATAACATGGGTAACGCCAAACCCATAATGGTCTAAGTACTCGGATTCCTAAGAACAGCATTGCACACGCCAGCGCCACTGCCGCCGGCTATACAACTTATCAAGTACCGTATAACACGACCTCTTATCACGAACTAGAAGAATCTTATCGCCCCTGTACTACTACAGGGAATTGAAGGAATTCTAATGGCCAAAACTTCGAACTGTTTTCAGGTTCTTGAACGGGCCATCCTTAGTATCAGCTGATTTCTTATTGGGGCAGAACCAAAGAAAGCTCCTGCTTGATTGACGTTCTGTTAGGTCGAATCGTGGACAAAATTCCCGATTTCTGTCGAGCGCGCACACAATGTTAATTAATAAAGAGGACCAGTCTATCGGTTATTAGTGATATAATAAATTTGCTTATCTATAGTGAGGCTTGAGCCGTTCCGTGAATGTGTAAATGACTGGTTCGTTCTCGTTCTCACGTTACAACCAGTTCTTGGAGCGCTCAAACGAATTACGCAGGATGAGTGATTTTGGTCATCTAAATGACAGTGGGCACAAAACATCAGTAGGATCCGTTGTCATACTCTCTCTATAAGGTCGAAAACGTAATGGACAAATTATCTTGAGGCTACCATGGAAAAGAATTTGTGAGAAAAACGCACCTGACAACGGTATCCCGCAAAGCTGCAGCTATACTAATATAGCAGTCTGAATTTTTGGAAATCCTATAATATCTATCCAGCTGTACATTAATCACAAAGAGGGAAGAGATCACACAAAGTTATATGAATACCGTTTTTGAGGAATGAGTATTTCGTTCATGCAGAGCAAGCAAATTGACCAATTGGGTTATTAATCCGTACCAACGTTTCGGCTCATGTTTCACCTGTCTTCTTCAACGTGGGCAGAGTTAATTTCCGATGCGCGTTTATTGGTCCGCAGCTGCTGTAAAGTATAGAGCCAGTAGATTTGCTTTTGGTCCATGTTACTGGTTAAGTAGTTTTTCGGCAACACGCTTGGCAAGGTTTG